TGTGTGTGTGTGTGTGTGTGTGTGTGTGTGTGTGTGTGTGTGTTTAGGTCCAGGTGAAGCTCCCAGTACTTCAGGAAGTGTCCTGGCTCTGCTGGAAAGTCTGCAGAACACTCCTCACCTGGAAGTCCACAAAGACATGATCACCTGGATTCTCAAGGTAACCGCTGATGTCACTGTGATGTCACTGTGATGTCATTGTGATGTCATTGTGAATTAACACCAGAGTGAAGGTGTGAAACTGAATCAGTGTGATCTCTGTGTGTGTAGATGGTGTCAAACATCAAAATGATGAGAGAGCGAACATCGTCAGCCTCCTCTTTTACCGTCAGCCTGGAAAGAGGCTCTGAGGAGGTGAGACTCAGCACCGCTTCCTCTTCCCTGGTTATCTACTGACTGATTGGCTCATTAACTTATGTGTTGATTAAGTGATGAATTGATTGGTTCCGTGCTGCAGACGATGAGGGACAAAGATAAGGCAGAGAGGAAGAGGAAGGCGGAGATGGCGAGGCTCCGCAGGGAAAAGATCATGGCTCAGATGTCAGAGATGCAGAAACACTTCATCAACGAGAACAAAGAGCTGTTCCAGCAGAGCATGGAGGAGCTGGAGGCGTCCACGTCAGCCGCCGACCACAGGTACAACTGCATATTTACACCTGTGGACCCACTTTCATTCACATTTACTAGATCTCTTACTATCAGCTGAGCACAGCCGTATTTATCTGTTGGAATATGAAATGCACTTAACATTAAGTGCAGGCAAGGACAGGTACACCTGTGGCCTCACCTGCTGCAGAGCACACGTGTGATTGAAGAGCTGATTCAGAGAATATTAAAAGATCCTCTCCCTCCTGCTTTACAGTCCTCCCAGTGCAGAGCTCACCTGTGTGGCCCAGGTGGCCGTTGGTCCCAGGAGGGTGGGAGGGACTGAGCGCCGACAGCTGGTCACCTGTATCCTGTGTCAGGAAGAGCAAGAGGTCAGAGGTCACAGCAGAGCAATGGTGCTTGCAGCATTTGTCCAAAGGTCCACTGTTCTGTCCAAAACCCGCCACTGCAACCTGCCCAACCCAGGTGAGCTCCAGTCTGACATCATCAGGCGAGTGACCAGTCGACGTTCTAACCTGTGATCGTGTGTTTCAGAGCACCGTGACCCCCTGTTCATGCACCCCGACCTCTGTCTGGGGATTCACACCGCCAGCTGTGGACACATCATGCACGCCACCTGCTGGCAGAGGTGACTCCCCTCACTTGCACACCTTCCAGTCGGCTCTCAGGATGTTACACCTGTCCTCACTCTGTTCAGGTACTTTGAGGCGGTACAGCTGAAGGAGCAGCGGCGTCAGCAGCGTCTGAGAGGCCACACGAGCTACGACGTGGAGAACGGCGAGTTCCTCTGTCCGCTCTGCGAGTGTCTGAGCAACACCGTGATCCCCATGCTGCCGCACGCAGCCTCACCTGACCACAGGTACGCTCACCTGACTGCAGTGAGACACTCACACAGTAAGCACACCTGTGCTGACCACAGGTACACAGGTTCCTGGCTTTTACCTGATGTTGCGTGAATGGTTTTCTCTCTCTCTCTTTTTCTTCTTCAGTGTTGAAAATCCTAGTTTCGAGGTGTGGCTTAAGACAACCAATCAGCTGATAGCAGCTCTGCACTCTGCACACAGGACGCAGTCTGATGGTGAGTTACCTGTAAGAACACGGAGTCAAACCATGTTAATGTTAATTAATGCGTGTGTGTTACAGGTGCAGCAGAAGAGGCGGAGCCTGTCGTTCCTCAAGGGTTCAGAGTAGACTTCACGCCGCAGTGAGTCATGTGCTGTTTGTACTGATCCTGATCAATAACCTAATGGGATATTATGTGGTGATGATGTCATTGTGATGTCACAGGAACCCGTTCTCAAGCTGCATCAGTGAGATGATTACCACCTTCAGCCTGTCCACCTATAAGGTGGGACTGAAGGTGAACCCCAACGAGCAGGACCCCCGAGTCCCGGTGCTGAGCTGGTCCTCCTGCGCCTACACCATCCAAAGCATAGGTATACACACCCGAGACAGACGCACGCACAACCACCCGAGACAGGTGTGCACCTGACACAGGTGTGCTCCCACCTGAGAGGTCACAGGTTGTCCTGTTATTTTGTTTTTCTGCAGAGCGCCTGCTAATGGATGAGGAGAAGCCACTTTTTGGAAGTTTACCTTGCCGACAGGTAACACTGTTTGTGACAAAGAAGAGCTGTGAATGGTCAGGCAGAGGGGGTGGGGTTTAAGAAGAGTTCACCGAATTTATTACAGATCAGTGTATTGATTACTGAGTTCTGTGCGTCGATCGGTCTCCGGCGGATGCTGCGGTTTCCTTGGTAACCTGATAATGTGTGTGTTGCAGGACGACTGTTTGAGTTCTCTCACCAGGTTCAGTTCAGCGTGTTGGACTGCAGCTCCTCTGAAAACTGTTCACACCCACTTCATCAGACTGTTGTCAGGTACAAACACACTTAATGCCTCAATTTACAAAAGACACCTGTTACTGACAAACACTAAAATTTCAACAATGAAAGAAACAAAATGTAAAAGAGTCCCCAGAGACGATTCCACAGACGCATTTGTACGTCTTTTGAAGTCTGCAAGTGAAATCAAGAGAGCTTCAGATCGTTGTGCAATGAGGACAGAGCAGAAAAGGAGAAAGCCTTCGTCCCAAGCTCTGTACGAACTGATGGAACAACGTAATGATGTCCTGAGTCTGCAGTCTGACTGTTTGTGCAACATATACTCTGATTTATAAGAGGACAATGAACCAGAATAGATTTTATAGAGAAAGTGATACCAACGAAGCATCCTGCGTGGGGCCAACGAGGACCAGTCAACATGAGAACAGTGGTGTGTTAAAGGTTTGCAGCCAGTTATAAATCTGGATGCCATAGACAGCAAATCTAACAGGTGAAGAGAGCGAGCATAGGTATCCAGTAATGTGTGACATGCCTTGATCAGCAGCGTCAAAGATTTCTGCTAGATCAATAAAAAGAGCTGCACTGTAGTTCTTTGTGTGCAAGCTTCATAGACATCATTGAGAACCGTTACTGCGCAGTTTCCTGATGAAAGCAGGTAAAATACTATTTTCATCCAGATAACTTTGAAGTTGATTATTTACCAATTTGGAAATTATCCTGCAATTATTAACCATTGAGGGCGATAACATTTATTTGATATATACACACATATATACATATATATGTGTGTGTGTGGGTATATATATACATACATATATTGTTTGTTTGTTTAGCTCTGGTTCCAGACGCTCAGGTAGAAAATACTCCGAGTATCCTCGAGATCGACATGTTTCACCTGCTGGTGAGTTTACACACCTGTTTACACACCTGTCCATCGTGGACCACTTAAAGCTCCGTTTTCGTCGGGTGGGTGCAGGTGACTCTGATTTCTCGGCATCTGCAGGTTTACTCTGTGCTGGCATACTCCTCCGTTCACTGTTTGGACCAATCAGGATGCGGTGTGGTGGACTCGGGCCACCTCCACCTCCTTCACTTGGTCACTGTGGCTCACCTGGTTCAGATCCTGCTCACCTCCACCACAGGTGTCGCTCTCTCTCACTCACACACAGTCTCTTTGGTGAACCCGATGCTTCTGTCTCACCTGTGTGTATTACCTGTGTGTGCAGAGGAGGTATGTATGGATCAGGACAACAGTGGATCAGAGGAGGAGGAGCTCACCTGTCAGCTGTACAGCACACTGAGGAAACACCTGGGCAGGTGAGTTTGGATTGTGAGACATATTTACCCTGTTAGTACATTCAAAATCCGTAAGAGGACTTCATTTCATCATCAGTGTGTTACCTGAGGTGTCCTCTGGGTGGCAGCTGTATCGTTGTCTTAAAGCCGGTGTCCTGCCGTTCCTCCGAGCCGCCGCCCTCTTCTTCCACTACCTGAACTCCACAGCGCCACCCGCTGAGCTGATGAGTAAGAGGATCACCGAGCAAAGTTCCTGTAACGATTCTGTTACACTGTGTGTTCACAGAAGTGTGTGTGTTGTAGTTGCAGGTCCTGGTCAGTGGGAGGCACTGTGCAGCTACCTCAGCCTGCCCTCCAACCTGCTGCTGCTTCACCACAACCAGCAAACACTGCTGAAGCCGCTCATACACAGGTAACACCTGCATCTCATTCTCCAAAGTACCTGGAAAAGCATTACCTGACACTCCCGTGTGTGTGTGTTTTCAGTTGGTGCTGTCATCCAGGTGTGAGACAGACACTGCAGGGGGGCGGAGCCATCATCAGGTTCCCCAGAGAGTCAAATCGACTCATCGAGTTGCCGGAAGATTACAGCGTGCTCATCAATCAGGCGTCCAGCTTCACGTCAGTGAACACACAGTGAGATCAGAGTGATCGATCGATCGATTTAAAAAGGATCAATGCTGTGAAGTTCTTTTGTGAGGTGACCTGAAACTCGGCCCATCTGAACTCACCTGAGTGTTACATGTGCAGGTGTCCGCGCTCAGGCGGGGATAAGTCTCGCGCTCCCACGCTGTGCCTGGTGTGCGGCTGCATGCTGTGCTCTCAGAGTTACTGCTGTCAGACGGAGGTGGACGGCGAGGACGTGGGCGCCTGCACCGCACACACCTTCACCTGCGGAGCTGGCCTCGGCCTATTCCTCAGGTAACGCCTGCACCAGTGAACTGACGCATGTCGCTCGCCATGCCTGCTAACCTGTGTGTGTCTGTGTGTGAGCAGGGTCAGAGAGAGTCAGGTGTTGTTCGTAGCAGGTAAAACAAAGGGCTGCTTCTACCCGCCCCCGTACCTGGATGACTATGGAGAAACCGACCAGGGCCTCAAGTATGTACGTTTGGTTGTTTAGGCCCACCCCCTCTACCAGTTTGTTTGGCCCCACCCCTGACCACACCCTCTACCTGTTTATTTGTTTGTTACAGGCGTGGGAATCCTCTCCACCTGTGTGCCGAGCGTTACAGGAAGATCGAGCGTCTGTGGCGCCAGCACGGCATCGCTGAGGTCATAGGTCACGCCCAGGAGGCCAATCAGGCGCTGGTTGCTATCGACTGGCAGCACCTGTGATGTTTGACTCTGCGCCGCCCCTGCCCTTAGAGAGACACTGATTGGCTCTCAATTGTGTCCCGCCCCTTTCTATATAAACCACATCCTTGAACCAATAAGCTGCCTGCTTGATGCTGAGTTGCTTTCAGGGATTTTTCACCTTTGACCCTCCACATGTCTCCCCACCAATCAGTGTGGGACAGGAACAGGAAACTCGAATTCGGTCCAGTGACGCCCTGCCTCCTGACTTCAAACACATCACCACCTTCATTTCTGATTGGCTAAGAGCATAAAGCAGCCGTCTCCATGGTAGCAGATTGATGGATGGATGTCAGTAAAGTGTCTGGTAGGGGCTGAGCTGAAGACTGATCAGTGAAGACATATCAGAGCACATATCAGCGATCGCTTTTTACTTTAGTTTAACATTTTGCTTAGAACTGATTGGTGGCGTGCTGTGTGATGTCACTTTCTGTGTTTTACTTTTGAATGCTGAGAAATTTTATTTAAAACTTGGCGCGGTCAGGTCTTCAGCTTGATGTCTTTTGTTTTTTGGGGGTATTTTTTAATGGCTGTCAGCTGAGCGCCTCATTGATCACATGATCTGTTAATATGTGAATTCCTGTATAAACGAGGACGTGTATGATAAAAACAATAAAAACTTTAAAGTGACATCACTTCCTGTCAGTTCATTACTTCAGGGGCAGAGACCCTTTTAGGAGGACATAGACATTCCAGTAAGCCTGCTCTCACCTGCCAGGTGGGTCAAAACTGCAGAGGTAAACGAGTAGCTAACCAATAAACTGAGAGAACACCTGCTGGAGGCGGAGCTTGTTCAAGTGAAGCAAAGTTGGTTGTTGTTGTTTTTTTTATATTGACAACTTTTAATTGCACTGAGCAAAGGAAACATCCGCACAAACATGAAAATGTGGAAATCCTATAAAAGGTAAGAATGTGTGTGTTGCTCATATTGAGGTGTATTCATTTATAGGTGATTTACTGCATCAGAAACTTCTGTCAGAGTTGAGTCGCTTTCTTGTGGACGGCTAGGTGACGTCAGCGACACGACAAATCGTCAGCGATTTGTCAGCAACCTGAGAAGTTGATGACAGCACTTAGAGGTGAAACAATTTTTAATTTTATTCTATTTTATTAAGTTGGTTTTTTTTTTTGCTTGTCAGTGATTGATACATCCGTTCTTAAGTTGGCTCATAAAAGCTCCTTCAGCTTTGCCTAATCTGACCAATGCCGCTAGTAAGTAAGTCCGCTCAGACTCACTCAGGGCGTCTTTAGGGCTTCTCTTTTTGTTTTAGGTTTTCCCAGTCTTCTCATTTTTAGTAAAAACTCACTCAGAAATTTGACATGTGCATGTAAATGGAGAGTCCTCTTCACACACTGAGGTTAATTATGGAGTTCCACAGGGTTCAGTGCTAGGACCAATTCTGCTTACATTATACATGCTTCCCTTAGGCAGCATCATTAGAAGACATAGCATACATTT